ATTCCCTTAATGGAAAAAGCTTCAACTCTTTGGTCGAGGTAAAAAATCATTTAGAAAAGTTTTCCGCTGAAAAACCTGAGAGATTCTGGAAGAATGGAATTTTCAAGTTGTCTGAAAGATGGAGAAAAGTTGTAGAATAGAATGGCATCTATATAATTTAATAAATGTATACTAAAATTTAAATCTTTCAATTTTCCTTCAAAATCGGCACGAATTTTCCGGACAACCCAATATTAAATATTTTATAGATGCTCCAAGAGAGATAGTATTATTTCAATATATCATATTTACCGGATTTAGGCGTAATTTTTTTAACATCGTGTATCTGAATGTACGTCAAAACATCGCTCTTCAATAAACGATTCGTACGTCCAGTGCCTTTGATTGTTCCAGAACTCAGGCCATATTCTTCCAATAATTTCTTTACCGCCAAACCATACATTCTGTACAAAAAATATATGAATTGCAGTACAATTATTTATTTGCAAGAGTATATTATGTTAAATATGGAAATAATAAATAAATAAAATTAATTCAATTATATAAATTATCTAAAAAATTAATACATACTGCCCACTTGATGGTTTTGCATTAGCTGGTGCGGTCGGTTTAGTAGGACTTGGTGCTGCAGGTATTGCTGATTCAGTCGGAATAACAACTTTTTTCCAATCCATTCCTTTTTCAACCATAACAGCTATCAACTGTCCAACTTGTACTTGAGATCCTTCTGGAATCTAATAAATAATTAATTAGTCTAAGAAAGAACTATAATGTAGAATTTTTTATCGTTAATAATTGAATATGTACAAGAATTTTTGCAAGTACTCCTTCTTCCTCCAATTCAAAGGACATAACAGCTTTGTCTGTCTGTATGTCTGCTAACGCATCACCCGGCTGTATTTCATCACCTTCCTGCTTCAGCCACTTTACAATTGTACCTGTTGTCATAGTTGGTGACAAGGCAGGCATAGCAATGTTTTGTCTGAAAATAAATAAAATATTTAGAAACAAATTCTGAAAATGTTAACTGTTTTTGTTATACATTTATAAGCATATAAATGTATAACCATTATATACATTCAGCATTATTTTAAATCTAGTATATTAAAGGAACTAAATATATAAATATGTGAGCATTATTTCAATATTACTTTAAAGCACAATATATTTATTAAAGAATCATACTGGCCGGATGGTGGTTCAGCTTTCGTAACAGGTGGGCTTGCTTCAATAGAAGATGATACTGCTGAAGAAGCTTCTGTTAGACCAGCTGGCATTTCTACTGTTTTCCAATCTTCATCAGCCTCTACAGTGAGAGCTATCAGAGTTCCTACTTTAATATCTTTCGTTCCTTCAGGCACCTAATCAATATATGTTGCATAATTTGGATGCAATCCATATATGATTTGATTGATTCGTTGCTAAATTACATACGATTATTTTCGCCATCACACCTTCGTCGTCAAATTCCATTGTGACAATGGCTTTATCAGTCTGAATTTCAGCAATAGCGTCGCTAGGCTCAATCTTATCACCTTCCTTTTTTAACCATTTCACTATGGTACCACTTTCCATAGTAGGTGATAATGATGGCATCGACAATTCTTTTCCCATTACTGAAAACAAATGTCTCTATGCTCATCTTCATAAATTAAAACTTTCATTATTATAAATTTGCAATAAATGTAGATATGCAATTGAATAAAATATTTTTTTTGCAAAGTAATGTTTAAATAAGAAAATCGATGGAAAAAGAAATTATGCTGAAATGATTGCAAACAGATTGAATGTTAGGTATCGCGTGAAAATTGATTGCATAATCAAAAAGACGTGGAAATTTATTTATCAAGCGCAGCGAAAAGCTTAATTTATAATTGTCAGACATTTGTTTTTTCGTTTAACGTTCATATCGTAAACAAGATAATTTTATCTCTCACAGATATTTTCATAAAATTTGGTTCACTTTTGAAGATAACCTCAAAATCAACTACTTTGCAAGAAAAAAAATCATAGTTTTTGAATAAATGTCATACCATCGAGAATAGTGCTGGTGTGAAAACATAATCGTTGATAATTTAAGGGCACGCGAAGCGCGTTGGGATTAGCGTACTTCAATGATAGATGCACGAACTTGGACCTTAATATGTGCGCCATTTTTATAGTCAGGCAAGACAATGATCAGATCATCAGTCCGCAGATTGACAAACTCGCGATTTGTCTGCAAGCCGTGACCTCAAATGACCTTAATTTTTCGTGCTACGTGTTTATCAGTAGGTTCTGTTTGCTTGAGTTCTTGAAAATTTTTGCACTTAAGACGAGATAGATATAAGAGGACGTTGAAGAGAGAGAAAGTAATAAGATTCAGAATGCACAAAAGTAAGCAACTGATACCAAAACTAGTTCTAAAACTGGTTTTAATATCAGTTTACATCAGCTTTTAAAAACAGTTTATATCAAGTATTAAGTCCTTAGTTTCTATAAATTTATTTATAATTTATTTTTTCTTCAACGCTTTTCTTGTTGAATTTTTACTTTGGAAAAAGAACATTAAATTTAAAAATTTTAATTCACAATCAGTCGTGGTATCTTTGTTTAAATTTATGGTAAAATAATGAGAGATTCAATAATAATAAATGATAAAACGATCTTGTTCTATTATTAATTATCTAATTAAGCTAATTTGATATCTATATTAAATTTTATTTTAGTTCAACAAAGATCTTTATTTTTTTAAGACTATTTTTTTTTGGATTGAGGATGAAAAAATGGGTCTTCGCCATTTTTGCTTGCCATACAATTTTTATTTCATCATTATAACAATAACAGTTTTCTTTCCCGTGTTAATTCGCATAGTGTTTCTATTAATAATATTCTGCGATATTTCGCATCGCTTACACGACTCGTATAAATTACGAGAATTTACCGGTGCGAGGATTTAAAATTTCCCGGCGTTTGAAATTGGCGGCGATCGCCCATACCGCAATTATCGATACTATCGATCGCGCGCGCTTGCGATCCTCGAAGTTGCTATTTGACTTAATGGTGAACTTTTGCAAAGTACGTCGCGGTTGCAAAAGATAGCCGATGTTTCTCCGATTTCTTCGACCGGGCGTGCCGTTATACCGTGCACGATTATGTACAAGAAATTATACGTGCTATACAATGATACGTGCATGTGTATATATGTGTATATGTGTCGCGCGCGTAGATTATATCGTTATAAAAACTTATTGCTAAGAGCTCGGGAGTGTGTATGTTAAATAAGAGTCAAGTTGGAGGATGCATAAAGGAGCTGATTACATTCATAATTATCCCTCCAGCATCGGCGGTGAGTCAGATTTTGATGGAATTATAATTTCTTGATTAGTTTTGGATTAGACTCTGCTGACCCTAAATGATATTTTTCTGGAGTAGTTTTTATATATGTATTCAAATATTTTATATATACATACGCGTTATATATGATTTATATATATAT